GGGTGTCCCATCCCATCCCGGGGTGTCTCGTCCCTCCCCGAGGTGTCCCATCCCATCCCGGGATGTCCCTTCCCGAGGTGTCCCATCCCATCCCCGAGGTGTCCCATCCCATCCTGGGATGTCCCTTCCCGAGGTGTCCCATCCCATCCCCGAGGTGTTCCTCCCGGGGATGTCCCGTCCCATCTCGGGGTGTCCCAGCTCACTCGGGGCACGTCGGGAGGAACGCGGAGGTTCTTTGTTGTGTAACTCTTTTTGTCCGGGGGATTAGAGAGGGTTTGCGGCTGTTTGTGCTGATTCAGATGGTTTTGTACAATGCGGGGTAGTCCCGGGGTAGATTCCGTCCGGGAATAGGCTGTCGGCTGAGCTCGCTGTGCCGCCCGGGCTGGTGTTGGCTCCTGCGGGGGGAACCGGGGAGAGCCTTAAGGACGGAAAAGTCAAGCGAAGTGGCTGTAACAAACCGGTTTCTCGCTGAGCTCAGCCTGGCTCGCAGCCTGCGACTCCCTGCCAGGGGCTCTCAATAAACGTAATTGCAGGCGAGAGAGTTTGGGTCAAACACTTCGCCGGGGAAAGCAGAAACGAAGCCTTTGGAATTACTCCTCTCCGTGTTTCTAGTGGATTTTCTTTTCTGGCTGCATATTGGAATTCTTGTCGTTTTCTCCAAGGTTGTTTTCTTTCTCTTTCCCCATTTCTCTCTGTTAAGTTTTTCTCTCTTTAAGTTTTAATTCCATTGTGTTTGGAGATGCTGGAGGAGGTGTTTGAGGCATCTGGAGCTGGCACTGGGTGATATGGTTTGGTGCTTTTGGGGTTACAGTGGTAGTTAGGGGGATGGTTGGACTTGTTCTTTATGGTCTCTTTCAGCCTTGTTCCTTCTATGATTCTATAAGGAATGCCCTGTGTCAGTGTGCTGTACTGATCCCCCTTTTTCTTTCTGAAAACAAACATTTCTAACACTTTTTTTTAAACCTTCCTCTTTTGTTTTCTTTATTTTTCCCTGTATTTGTTTTCCCCAGTCCCCTTTCAGCACCAGCTCCATCTCTTTCTTTCTGCAAACAAACATTTTTAACACTTATTTTTCAACCTTCCCCTTTTGTTTTCCTTATTCCTCTCTTTATTTGTTTTCCCCAGTCCCTGTTCAGCACGGGCTCTGAGCAGGGCAGCCCACATACTGTGCTGGGAGACTGGGCAAAGCCTCTGCCTGTCACTGGGATGTGTCAGTGTTTGGTTCTCAGCAGCAGCACAGGAAGTCTCACCATCCTGACGAAGAGTCATAAAGCATATTGAAGATTTGTTGCTAAAAGTGGACTGAAAATGTGCTAATTTTATGTCGCCTTTGGAAGAAATGATAAGTCATTTCTGACAAGAAATGTATTTATATATATATATATAGCTTTTCAAGGCCCTGTTGGGTCTTAAAAAAAAGTCATCAAGGAATGGTGAAGGATTTCCTGTGGAATTGCTGTGGTACCACGCACGGAATAATTGTAAGAGGAAATTGAAAATGGCTTCCTACGTCTGACAGATGGTTTTAACAATCTCTTTTTCAGGTTTGAGTTGATTTTACAAACTGCAGCCATGGTGCAGAAGTACCAATCCCCCGTACGGGTGTATAAACACCCTTTTGAGTTGATTATGGCTGTAAGTATTCATTTTTTTTGGCTGTAATTTTCTTTTTCACTGTTCCTTGTATTGCTAAATACTTACTGGACTCTGATACTCTGATAGAGCATGCAAAACTGAAACAGGACACAAAGTATGAAAGCTATGTTTTGATAACTTCTTCTCTGAGGGTTTTTTTTGACGTAATGCGTTCTGTTTTTCTCCCAAAGTTTAGATATGGCTTACAGGTGTATTTTGTTAGAGCAAAAGTAGGTTTGAAATGTACTTTCCGGCTCATTGCTGGGGGCAAACTCTTATAGCATGGGAGAAAGTGTCAAGTACGTTGATTAAAAGATTGTTTAGGTTGTGCCTTCATCAGTGTTGAGTTTACAGAACTAGAGAGCATGGAGAAAGCTGTGAAAGCAAGGATAAGCCTGAAGGAAAAAGGGGAAAGGATATTGGTAATACTTTGGGGGGGGGGGAAGAGCAAAGCTTGCTAGGGAGACCAGAGAGAGGCATGAAAAGCCCTTTGTGTGCTTGGGTGCTAATTTGTGTGCTAATGTACAAATAATAATGAAAACAAAAAGAAAAATCTTAATTAGGTTCCCTTTCCTTTCCTCCTCTCCCTCCCTATTTCTGTTGTAGAAAGCAGAAAGGAAGTAGTATTTGATATTTTGAAGTATATTCAGCCCAAACCACAGCTGTGGGGCTCTCATGAGTTACCAAGAGCAGCTGAAGAGCTTTTTCCCTGATAAAAACAGTCAAAACTAAACCGTCATCTAAGTAGTAATTGTTTTCTTTCACTTGCTGAAAATCCTATGTTTAATGGCTTCAGAGGAGAGTTTTAATAGTGCTCATAGTGTAAATATTTAGATAGGTCACATGGGTTGGAGTGCAGAGTTCCTTACAGAAGTGATCCTTTGCAGGCACAGGGCAGAAAAGGATTAGGTCACTCTACAGGGAATACTTCCATTTCTTTTTATCTCATTCCTAAAGCTGCCTCTGGTGTTACACATGTAGGTCTTGCTCTTGCAAACACTTCAAGGCAGAGAGTGGGTATTTTCCTGAGTGTTGAAGAATCTGACTGTGATAGATTTAAGGTCTTTTAGGACCTTACTACACTGTCAGCAGGGCTTCAGGTGATTTCTTGTTTAAATTTGATGGTGTGTGTAACTTTAACCATCAGTGAGGTGTACTAGTTCTTAGATCAATCAGCCAAAATGAATTCCTTGGACAAAGCTGTGGCTGTTGGCTGAGCTGACGACTCTTTACGTTGATGTTGAACTGAAGGCAAAAATTCTTGTCTGGAGTTATTTCTTTAAGAGTATTTTGAGTCAAAATGCAGACATCAGTATTTTTTCACACTTTATTCGGTGTAATTAGAAGCACATCTAATATTTACTGTGAGTTCTTAAACTGTTCTCTATCTTGGGGATAATACTCGAAGCATAATCTTTAACAAATATTAAGTCTTACCTTACCTTAAACCTTTTCTTCTTTGGAGAGAAAGAAGCTGTGCTATGTACACAAGCTGGATAAAACAATAGCTGAGAAATTAAAAGTGACCTAGGAGGAGAAGAATGTTTATAAAAAGAAACAGCTGAACAGGATCTGTTCTGAGACTGGAAGCTTAGATGAGCGATAACACATCTGACTTATTTAGTCTATGTCAGGGCAGTGAGTTATCACTTGAACTTGCTCAGAATGTGATCACTGGATGAACATCCTTCTCCTGCTGTGTCGCTTCTGTTCCTGATTTTTAAGGCTTGTAGCATTCCTGGTGGTGATCCATCAAGACTGGTCATGCATTTTCTGAAGTATGTACAGAAGTGCCTCCATGAGCCAGATTCTGGAAGGAACACAAACAGTATATGAAAGCTTGATGCTTTTTGTTACTGTTTTCCCTTGGTTGAATAGTGATTGCGTAAGTTGATGAAGTTCATTTCTGGAAGGAATATTTGTGTCAGATTTTGTGCTCACTAAAGTGGAAGGCACTGCATTGCATATTCTCAACCAAAAAAAGTGCTGTAATGTTACTTTAACCCTGCCAGCAGCTCTTCTGGAAGGAGGAACATGACCTGGTATATGCCAAGCTTGGATTTAAAGCACCCCACAATGACTTTACAATATGTTTTCTTTGGTTTTTCTCTTGTATTTGCGCCCAGCCTTTGAGAGAATGTGTCCTCAAGTAGAGGTTTAAACCCCCACACCAGAGATGCTCAGCTGTCTGTAAAAAAACCTCTTGGAGAAACCTGAGGTCAGTGTGGTAGAAGGTTTCTGTATGCTGAGTTGTCTGACAAAAATCACTGTTTCTAGCCTGAGTCTTGCATGGGATCTAATCTTTGTCTTAAGGTGCTGGGTACTTTGAAAGATTTTATTTGGCAAATCATCCTCCCTTCCCTGGGCTTTCTGTGGAACTGAGGAGGTAATTCATTCTATAGAGTAGTAATGAAGTTCACCTGTGTCAATGTAGTCCTTGTGGACTGTAAAGATTTCCAATTGGAACTCATTAAGTCAAACCAACATTTGGCCTTCAGATAGAGAACTCAGCATTAAATTCCTCTTTTCTATAAGCAAGCAAGTGAATGCCACTTGCAGAGTGGGTCATTTACACTACACACTTCCTATTTGCCCACTTCTCCTTTCCTGGGTTTCGAAGAGGTACTTGAGGGAGAATGAAGCACAATCAGCATTCTATTCATGCAGCTCTGGTGTGTTTTGAGAGAACTTTGTTCTCTCTGTGAAGTGTGAGTGCAGCTCTATATTAAGACAAAAAACCCCGAATTTAATTTCACTTTGATCTAAGCCAAGATTGACAAGACAAGTGTTTTGCAGACAATTATGTTATAAAGACTTTTAAAATAGGCACAGTCAGAATTCTTTTCCTGAGTTGAATTGGTGTTGAAAATAAGTTTCTCTGTTAGGTTCCTCCATTGAAATCCAAAACTCATCTGTTGAACCCTAATATATCTTATACTCCAAGGCACAAGCCTTTATCTCATAGGCCTGGGAGGGAGTTGCTGAGGTGCTGAGGTTGGTAGAGAGTTGGGAGATCATTGCTGCAAGCCTCTTGCCTTCCTTCATCAATAAAGGTGGTGTCAAATCTAATACAAGCTACTTCCCTTGAAGATTTCCTTTTACTGGCAAATTGTGTGGTTCAGGAGAATATGTAAGATGCAAATATTAAAATGCAACCATCTCCTGAACTTGAAAAGATTCTCGAATCACGGGCTAGAAATGACCACATTTCAGTCTGACACACCTAGCACAGGCAAGATGATTTCACCAAATAGTTTCCAAAGCTGACGTGATGGTTTTTGGGTCCTCTGTGGCCTTTCTGTCATAATTAACTTCTTGAAAACTCTGTGTTAGTGTATGTACATTTTAAAGAGACACCCAGACCAACAGCTTGCACAGCTGTTCATCAGCCTGAATAGAATCTTGTCTCCTTTTTCCTCCTGTTCATCTGAAGTTTACGTAATGCTGGAAGCAGCTGAAATGTGGGAAAATGGCTGTTTACTTAGACTCGCTTGTCAAGTTACCAAGGTTAAATATACTGGAGAAAAACTGAGAAGCTGCTTTTATAAAACTTGTAACGATTACAGACTCAATTTTTTATATTGGCTTAAAGAGGTTTACATTTAAAATGATACAGGGACTTTGCTGAATAAGTAGTTCTTAATATTAAAAGGCAGTTAAGAACTTGAATCTTTCTTAACATATATTAGGCTAAAATTAACTTTGGAGATTCACAGCTCATTTTCAGTTTGACATACTTTAGATAATTCCCCCTTGAGTTTAATTTCCAAAGTAAATTTAAATAAGGGATAATCAGCTGCCGTGGCATTCCAAGGGTGGAACTTGTGCAGATGGAAAATAAATAAGAATTTTGAAAAACCCACATTGAATTGAACCATTGACCAGGGGGATTTTTTTTCTTTCAGTTTCTGGAAGCTCGGTGGAAAATGTATTCTTCAGCCCATTTAGAAAATGTCCTATTTACAGCAACCAATTACTTAGCTTCAGAAATAAATATGAATAGTCATGAGACAGAGCATTCTACTTTAATAAAGTTCCTGGCATTTGTCAGCTTCCACTGGTGCCAGACAATGAGGAGAAGTCTGTAGGTAACCTGTCATCAATCTCAGGTTGGGGAAATAACACTTTTAAATTTTATTTTAAAATCAAAATTGCAATTCATCTTGTACTGCCTTGAGGCTGAAAACTACTTCTTTCCAGACTATGTATTCTCATCAAAATCCTGTTTAAAAAAAAAAATCAATCTCATGTTTTTCTTGTGTTCTGATGAAATATCTGAAGTGTCTCAAGCATCAGTCTTTCCTGGTAAGTATAATGTGTTGTGCAGTTGATTATATTATCATTTTAATGGTTCAAATTTGTTGCTTTTGGACAAGAATCTGACTTGCTTTCTTTGGGTTTATGGATCTGGAAAAAACAGCTTTTAAGGTGTATCTCAGGAATTAAAGTATCCCTAAATCACAGGAAAGTAATAAGATTGTAGATGGGATAAATATGCTTCAGTGGTAGAGTAGATTAGAAAAAAAAAATTATCTGTTTTCTCAGATTGACAAATCAAAGCATAATCCTTTGATCGAGGTTGTAAATAAGCTTCCTGATCAGGCTGCACATCATCTGTTCATTGTGGAAGTTATTACTTTTAAAAGTCATTGAAAAAAAACCCCAAAGCTGTATCAAGTTAAGTGACACACCTGCTCATAATCCTTACAGTTTTTATTCCTTCCAGTCTCGTTTTCTTTTTCCTGGAAGAAATACATTCCACACATCATGTGAAGAGGGGCTGAGAGGCTGGTGAGGAAAAGGAAACTCTTCTCCAAGTGCTTTTATAAGCACAAAATAGGCTTTAAATGTACGAAGAAGTATTTTATTCCCCCGACGTAGTGCACCTTCCTGAGGGTATGTTTTGGATACTTAAATCCTGGGGAAAGGAACCGACCGAGTGTCAGCTCCCAAAATTGGTTTAGGACTCATCTCCTTTGATTCCTGCCTCTGTTGAAAGC